CTTTTTTTCCCACATGCTTTCTGCCACTGTTACATTGGAAAGAAATAAAAGGACCATTTTAACAGCACATTTTCACAGTTTTATTTTAAAATCCTCAGGTAAGCCTTAAGTGATTTTGAACTTATATTTTTGCATTAAAAAAAAATAATCCTAAACTTTTGTTCTGTAATTTTTGGTAAACAGAAGGCTTGTAAACAAACCGTTTAATGAAAAAAAAAACAAACCAAACTAACAGTTCTGTACAAAATTCTATTTTGGAATTTATATTTTAGACATGATTTATTTTTTTTAGATTGAAAACATTTCATGTGATAATTTGCATGCAATAAGGTGAATATTTTTCCTATGTTGTCTGACAGAGTACAGGAGACAAATGTGCCTCACATGGAACAAGCATTTAAGTAGTTGAACCGTGAATGCAAATACACTACGAACTTTAAAGGAACTATTTCAACAATAGTTACAGTTTATGGGACATCAGGAAGGTGTGTAAAACAAAGTAATTTGGAAATATTTTAGTTAGAGCAAGTGTAACACTAAAATATTTCCATTTTTGCTGAGAACATATGGAGCACCTATCACTTTGGGAAGTGATCCTGATAACAACACCATCAGCTGCATCAACCTTAATAAGTAATTAACAGACACATTTTAAGAAATTCTCCATGCTTTTTAAGGTTTTGAAATTTGAGCAAGAATACTGGTAGAGTAACAAGATCGAAACTTCCCTAATACTGCCCCGTCTTTATGAAGAGGAACATTTCACAATACCCATCTCTTGCATCTATGTCTTTCAGAACTTCATTGGATAAATGAGTTTTATACATTTTTGTGTAAAATCTGTTCTAGAGAAAAAAAAAAGCTCCAGGAAGCTCCAGGAACTAAGACCTGAATTATTTTAAGCTGGCTTTCCAAGCTATTGAAATAGCATAATGATGTTTAACTTTTTCGTAAAATTTTGTGAATTATCAAGTATTCAGACAGATGTGTGTGTTGGCTTTCACTGTGCCTATGACATTACTTTCCCACCTCTTTTTCATCACAAATGAAAATCATTGCTATCACCCAAAAACTGATTTACAAAGCTGCTCAAAAGGTAGAATAAAAAAATAGAAGTCAAAAGACGTTGGTCTGTTGTGGTCTTCATAATTACTGAAAATGGCCTTGTTTTTGCTGTTATTCTTCAAATGGCACAGAAAACTAAAATCTCAAGGATTTGGGTATACAGTTCAGTAGCTCCTGAGTTATGCTGTGCAAGCATTTTGGATAATCAGTTGTGACACAGCTGCACAGAAGCAACTTTCTTGAATACTCAAGAAAAAAAATATGCTACATTATAGCTGTGCTGATTCTGGCTGGGATAGAGTTAAATTTTCTTTGTAGCAGCTAGTATGGGGCTAGGTTTTGGATTTGTGTTGGAAACAGTGTTGATAATGCAGACATGTTTTGGTTCTTGCTGAGCAGTGCTCACACAGAGCCAAGGCCTTTTCTGCTTCTCACCCCACCCCACCAGTGAGTAGGCTGAGGGTGCACAAGAAGCTGGAAAGGAACACAGCTGGGACAGCTGGCCCCAAATGACCAGAGGGATATTCTGTACCATATGATGTCACACTTAACATATAAAGCTGGAGGAAGAAGGAAGCAGGGGACATTCGGAGCAATGGCATTTGCCTTCCCACGTAACCGTTACGCGTGATGGAGCCCTGCTTTCCTGGAGATGGCTGAACACCTGCCTGCCCATGGGAAGTGGTGAAGGAATTCCGTTTTGCTTTGCTTGCGTGCGTGGCTTTTGCTTTACCTGTTAAACTGTCTTTATCTCAACCCAGGAGTTTTCTCACTTTTACCCTTCTGATTCCCTCCCTGATCCCACTGCGGGGCTGTGTGGGGCTTAGCTGCTGGCTGGAGTTAAACCAAGACAATAGCACATGCTACTGTTGTAACGTATGCTTTATGTTGTATAGCAGTAAATTCCACTCGGATGCAGCAGGCACATGGTGCTGTTTCATGAAACTATATTACATAAGTAGGAAACGCTGAGTATCTATAAAAGAATTTCCTGTTTTCAACTGACCTGTAGCTAACCCAACAGCAGTGCACAGCGCCTCATCAGAATATCTGTCTTCACTACTTCTTTGTGGCATGAGAGAATGTAACACTGGCATTACAGCACCTTCTTTTTTTTTTAATAGAATCAATCCAAATTGTACAAAAATATAGCCAATGAACAAAAAGAAAAGTGTGCTGCATATTCAGTTGTGTCTATAGATAGCACTTTGCAATTACAGCTATAGAAGTCAAGCGACGAAATCTTTGAAAGTTACGACTGTGTGTTCCTCACGTAACTATGCAGTCGCACTCTATATTACCGTATAAACTTCTCTTTGTGATGGGCAAAAGGTGAAAAGCACTCACTTAATAAACAGGAGAACAGAACTAATTTAATTTTTTTTTTTTTTCAGCATGACATCATGTCTTATATCACCACTCAAACGCCAATGTAAGAATTACATGTCTTACAGTACTCATGAAATCATCACCCTACTTCCTCACAAACATTAATGCAACAGCCTCCAAAGCGATGATTCGGTAATACTGAGCAAATTCTGTTGCATCTCCTCAGTGACTGAGCATTTTGTAGCATTCTATCTATCATAACTTCAGAACATGAATTTTCACTGATCTGCACTGTGATTCCCAGAAGTAACAGCTTGAAAGCAACCTGGGCACAGAGACAGATTAACGACCAGTGAAAAATGAAACCAAGTTCCTCACCACGTGTAAAGATTGTGTAAGAGGCAAATCTATTCTTGAAGGGTGGCCTCAGCAGTGAAACAATCCTTTCTCTTCTTGTCCACTACACACTTTTAAACCTCTCCAGCAAGTTAAATCGGCACCTGACAAACAATCTGTCCACAGACACAGCAGATTTCTTCCCCTAGTCATTCTATCTCTCAACAAGGAGGGAAGCTTTCACTGCGTGAATTCCACAACTTCCATCTCTCTGTTCTTGACACTTCAAAGTGCAGTTGAAACAAGTTTGCAGCATTTTCACAGATGAGAAATGCAGGCTTCAGTGCCCAGATTCATCGTATTGTTTATGTTTTGGATCGGAGCACCAAAGCTGAGCGTCCCCCACCGAGCCCTCTCCAGTCAAAGGGACCTTCAACAGTCTGACCTTCAGCTCTCCTGACTGGCTCTCCAATTTACGCAGGTTAATCAGGTGCCTAGGGATAAGCATGAATTCAACCTTTAGGAATACTAAGCCAGAGATACAAAGGAGTTGAGAACACTGAACCCAGGTCTCCAAAGTAGAATATCACATTGCCTCTTGAAATTCCTAGCATCTTAGTTTTTGAACACTTGACCTTGCAACTTCAAAATATTAGTATACTTTCAGATATAAGAAGAAGAGAAATACAAATAATCAAAGACATCAGCAGTTGGAACATATTTATCCATCTTTATTGTTTGAATAAATACATTTTCAGAGCCTGAAATAGGTACAAAATGCTGCCCCATCTTCCCCCTCCCACTTCTTCAGGCCTGCCAAAGCCTACCCTTGTCTTGGGTTAACCGTTAAGCACAAGTCTTTCTATATCCACTTTCTAGCACACAGACACTCTAATTCCCGTGCCATAGCTCCGCTTCCAGAACGTACTCAAACACAGCCATTCTGTGCCCTCCTTTTCACTGTGTAATACGCATGTAAAATGGAAAAGGAAACTTCTCTACTCCTGTTCCCTATAACACGGCCACCTTGGCTACCACGGGTAAATTCACCTCATTTTAGCAGCTCTAGACAAGAGCGTAACCCAGTCAGACTCTATGGGTAATTTTGCCACCATTTTCTAATAAACCTGTGGTTATCGCTGGCATTATATCGGTCCCCTATCAAAGGGCCTATTTCAAACCATAAAAGTACTTTAAGACTTGAAAGAATCTATTTTTAATTTTTCCTTTATAAATGGGCAATGCATTTCCACTTTCATTTCACTTTGCTCTGAAAAACCACTAAATTATCCCTAAATTTTCCCCAAAATTCTAAGTAATTTGAGAGTAGGGTAGAAGAGAAGAAATGGGCATCTAACAATTCCAATTAGCACAACCTATATAGCATATGCTTCTCTGGCAGGTATTTCTCAGTGCAACTAGGGCTGTATTTCCCCCATAAAAATTACAGCATCATTCTTAAAAAAACAAATACATTTAACAAATAAAAAGAAATGTCACAGTGGAAAGAGGCAGCAGTGCTTGCACCACAAAGACCACTGACAAGCTACATTTCATTCAAATCTGTATTAAATCTAAAATCCAACTAATGTAACTGGTTGGGTGGGTTTGGTTTGTTTGTTTTGGGGTTTTTTGTGTGCTTTTTTTTTTTGGCAAACATTCTTAGATAAACAATATCTTCCATATTCTTGAAACGAGATTGTCCTTTCTCCCACTAATCTTCCTACCAGATGGGACAACCCCTTCCTACAGGCAAACTGGCTAGCAACATCCACTTGTATTTTAAAATTAATATTTAATTTTCAAATTCTAAATTAATGTTTATGAGGCATCACCCAAGAACTCCTCTCTTAGTATACAGCGAACTATACTCAAACATCAAAAGTTCTTTGTCCATAGACAAAAGAACCAAGTAAAAAACAATTTACATAATAAAGTCTTGGTTGAAGTCAACTCCATTTTCAAGTTTTAAAATATGATCCTGCAATGGGTTGCAAATAATCTATCCGGAATTCATTTGTGCATTCTCTAAAATATTAACTTTCATGCAATGCATGGCACGTGGAGCACAAATTATCCTGAAACGAGTAAAGACATGCTAATGTGGGATTGAGGAAATGGTTTCTGAAGCGTATTTTTCACTTGTTAGCCACAAATTCTCATACCCACTGATGATGAAGAAAAAATATTATGGACAACTAAACGTTCATCTTAAACTTCTGCTGAAACTGGACATTAGGAAAACAAAATATACTGAAATGCAGATTGACTTATGTATACAAAGAGAGTTTGTAAACTTTTGCACAATATTAAAGTTTTCTGTGGAACAAAGCTAACAAATCACTCAGGAGCAAAAAGTGCAAATAAAAAAGAATTTTTGCTGAAGCCAAGCACAGAACAGAGATAGTCTAAACTCAAGACTGAATCTCTCTTTCAGAATTTAGGAGCCATCTAACTAGAAAGCAGCATCAAACTGAACTACCCCGTATTTTCCACTTCCCATCCATTGAGGTTCAGAAGCCTGAATTTTTTCACCTTGTCCAGGTTTTAGGCCAACCTGAGTGTCAGATTTCAGTGTTCTCAAACTACAGAGAGGCGCGGGATGAAACTTATTCAAGGCTTGATGAAATGGAACAGTATATTCCCATTTTTTATCTCCTGTTAATTTTCTATAGTTTAGATCACCTTTGAAAAGCAGCAAGTCTGACTTCTGTAGTTCGGCATACAAGTCAGGAGCAACTTCAGCCATACTGGAAAAGTCATGTGGCAAAGTCCAAAAAATGTGATCACGGTAAACCCAGACTCCCTTCTTCAAATTGCCCTCCCACTTTATCCCACATCTAGACATCCACATATGATTGGCTGACTGCAGTTGTTTAATAGTCCAGTTAAAATCGTTCTTTGTGGTATCTGACACATACCATGGAATGCTTTTTCCATGAAAATGGACTTCATCAGCTAGCTTTGACGATAACAGGAAGTCAGCCAACACAAGATCACTTACAAGTTCAAATCCCGCGTTATCCAGGATTATGTCAACTCTAACCTTACTTTTTTCTGTATTTCTTTTTTTGGCATTTACAAGAAGTGACCAAAGCTTTTCCATATCGTTCACTACGATGTAAGGTACCATGTTTTCCAGAGATTGTAAAGGACTAGACTTCTGAGAGCTGCCTTCACCAGCTGAAAAAGAAAGGTCACACTTATTGCCCCACAGTGACACCTAGAAGGAGGAAAAAACAAAAACATTTGCTAAATTTCACTGTAGTTACATTCTAAGCTTCATATACACTAAAAATATTGTTTGCTTGGTTTTATTTTAGGGACATGAAGGCTCTCACTCCACGTCTTCCTCCAAACTCTAATAAAATCCAACTTCTTGTACAGAAATCTTAATACAGACAAGACTGTGGAAAAAATCAAACAATGCTCTGTATTTATGCAGGCATCAGAAACGTGCATTAGAAGTGACAAAGATGGAAGACTTAGATCAACATAAATACACTGATCACAAAGCTTAACACACAAATATTCTCCATACTGTAATTCCAGAAAATACTAGTGGGAACACATAAAAAGGAGTAATAAAAGCAGGTTTATTTTTTTATTACATCCAGCCAAGTAAGAACTTTTATTTTAAGTACACGCTAATGAGGTCTTTATAAAGATACATCAAATACTTGGTGTGCATTGTTGCCAGCTAATGGACTTATTTGTAATCCTATGATACTTTGTATTCTACCCAAAGGCATTATTTTCCAAGAACAATGCAGTTATAAAGCTTTTAAACCACTTCTGGCCCAGACTGACTTCTAACTTTTTTTCAAAGAAGTCTAAAAATTCTTAGAATGTCAATAAAATGAACTGTCCTAAAATTTTACAGTTAAATAGCAAAACGGCCATCTGGAACTTGACTTAAAATGTTTTGGAGATACTGGTTTTGAGGGAAAATAAGCTTGGTTTTCAAATACAAAATGAAGACTAGCAGTGTAATGAAAATGTCACCTTTAATACAAGCAGCCAAAATTTAAACATTTCCAAGGTAGCAACAATACAATATGGCTGTCAGGATTTCATTGCATGTTTACAAACACTAAAGTCATATATTAATTTCCACGAGAAGTTCAGATTCTTTATAACCTCAAGTTTTTGTTTGTTACCTAGGAGAGAGATTTTAAATTCATAAGTTAAGCACTACTGGTTTACCTGCAACAGCTTAAAAAGTTCCTCCTGAAGTTGCTTTTCATCTAGATCCTTGATGTTTTTAAGAAGTTCCTGAAAGTAAGTGCATAAGGCAATAATAGCCTCTTGGGATTCAAAGAAATTTTGAGCCTTTCCTTCCTTAAATACATCAAAGTTGTCAATAGGTGGGCTAAAAAGAGAAGGAAAACAAATATATGAACATACTTACTACGTTTTTCATGACAGCACAGGAAATACATCTGAAGACGCAAGCTCAAAGCTCGGCTTCTTTAGGCCCGTTAGATTTTCCACTTCTAATTTGTCATACTAAATTTTTTACACATCTCAATAACAGTCTGATATCATCTCTCACTGAAACACACAGCATACAAGATATCTTTATATTTCTAGCAATATATTATGAAAGCAAACACGTGTTCAGTCACAACAATTCTGAGAACTGCACATAAAGTGACAATTTTGAACTCCAGTCTTCATACACGGAGAATTAAAACTGCAACATACAAGTGAACTAATGTGGTGAATTGGCTTCAGCACACACTTCCCACATCAAAGTCTCTTGCACTGATGTAAAGTTATTCTTATGAAAGTTTTTAACTAAGACTTTAGAAGATTAACATGACAAAGCTGACAAAATAATTCAGTTCTTGTAATATAAGCAAGATAGACTCATCTATTATGAGAGATATATTTGCAGGTACACTCTTTGACAAATTATTGAAGCGTATCCAAGTATACACTTAAAAGCAGCCAAGCAATAGAGATGAAGAAACTTAAAACTTACTAATGAAAAGTGAAATTTTAGGTGCAATCCAGGAGTTCCATCTCATATTTGAAGTTTTTGCTGCAACAGTTCAAATTACACAACATACCAGTGGGAAAGGAGTCCCCGTTACTCTGTTTGCTTCTCTAGTACTAAGGGCAAATCCAGCACGCACGGAGCTTTCAGTTATTTTTTTGGCAGCGGCGGGAACTTACTGCTCATTCCTACCCCATTACATTGTACTGGCACTTCTCCACAGCACCAGCACAACAAGTTTTTCTTGCCAAGTTATTTTTAACCAAGATCAGCTCCCAAGGTCTGATGCAACATACAGTCTGCAAACACTGCAGCAACTAAGAAGATAGTGTAGAACAAACAACAGGGACTGCTTAAGCTGGGTCTACTGCTGTAAGAAACAGTTTTAAACAGTAACTTCAGATTTCAAGCAGCAAAACAAGTTAGAATGTCCAACAGACTAATGGCTCTTACATTCTGTGTTTTAGGCTAATAAACGCCTTTTAAAAGATAATTCTAGACTAACAAGCCTTTTAGAAATACTAAATAATTTTCAGATCTCAATGCACATTAGTTTGCAGGAAGGTCAAACTACACAGTCAAGTCTGAGAGTTTGCGTGTAGACCAAGTCACAGAAACTGCAACATAAAAAAAAAATCCAGTAAGCTTCAAATTCTGCTGCATGGAAGAAGAAAAAGTATTCATTTCAAATCTGAAAATTAGATTATTAGTGAGACGAGGGGAAAGGAGTATGGCAAAGGCTTAAGATTTTCCTTTATCTTTCTGTCATCAGCTGTCTTCCTTTCTCCTAAAATAAAAATAAGAAAGAATACTGTTTTGCAGAGTAATATACCAAGCTAGTAAGTACTTACTTCTGTGCTAATGCTGCATGAATTCTTCGATACATGTAACACTCTACATACAACCAAGGGGACTGAAACCAGCTTGGTTCTCCGTTTCCATTTGATGAATTTCGTTGGTGGTCTAGGTATTGGTTCCACAACGCAGCATCAGGCAGCTCATCTTCTAAAGGGGTCATTGGTTTGTCTGTTTGCAGTTCATTCCGCAGTTTGGAAAGGAAAGATATAGCCCTCTTCTCTGCTTCAACACCCTTCTAAAATAAGCGGAGAGCAAAAGTTCCTATTCTGAATATTTATTCCTGTAGAGACGCGCATTATTTTTTCATGAAAGAAATAAGTTTTAGATTGACAAATTAGAGCTTCATTCGACCAAACCTATTGTGGTGAATGAAGCTCATTTTACACCTAACATCTTAAAATGAATCACTCGTGGGACTCCTTTTTAGATTAAACCTTTTGCTTATCAGAGGGAAACAGAATATTGAAACATTGCCATCTTCAGAAGATGCTACAGTCTATTAAACATTGCATTGACACGAAAACCTGAGAAACCGAAGCAGTTGCAGAACAGCTAAATCAGAAAAGGTAAGTTATGAAATTAATGAAAAATAGATAAAATAAAGAGATAAAGAAAAAAAAAACAGACAAAAAGATTCAGACAAGTAATGACTGTGGTAAAAAAACCTGTAAAAATAAGGCAGAGAAAGTGTCTCAAAGGTTACAGGGGAAAAAAAAAAATCTCAGGCAAAAAGAGACCTTACTCTTACCTCACCATGTTCTTCAAAGAACTCATTTTTATGCCGATGCAGAGTATCAATAACTCTTGTGAGAATCTGGGGCAGTCTGTCCTTAATTGTAATGTATGCATAGGATCTAAGAAGGAAAAGATCCAAATTTTATTACTGAAAGGAAATTATGAAACATCTTGTATTTTTTTTAAATAAATGCAAGGCCTTTAAGTTTATATGCCTTTAAAGTAGTGGATATCAGTTAAAAAAAAAATCCAACAATCGCAAAATGGTCTGGTTCTTAGGTCTACTATTGAAGAAAAAGATGAACTGCAGTCTTTTCAGGGAAGAAAATGCTAAGTGACTGGCCCTGCCGAAAGAGCAAAGATTGTAGTTAATTCTAGGCTAAAACGCATTCTCCGATTCCTTAATTACCCAGATGTAAAGTCAAGGAAATTTAAAATTAAGAGTATAGAGAATTAAGTGTACCCCCATACACTAACCTTTACGACAAAGCCCAAACTACTTCCTCTCCACTACATACTTGATTTACATTCTCCCTAAACGCTACTTATTTTTGAGAAGACAATAAGCAAAACACGACCAACCCTGCAGAGAGCTTAAAGAATCACTTTTATTTAACGATTTCTACCCCATCAGTCAGAGCTCCGGTCTGATGGACTCAAAACTGAACGGTTACCCAACACTGAACCCGAAGAAACGCAGAGACGTAACTCGCACCCTCCCAGGAGCTATTCCGGCCCGTAACAGGCAGGGACAGCCGCAGCGGC